CTCTTCCTTCTCTTCCCTCAATTCCTCTTTTCTCGTCTGTTTCTGTTTCATTTTTTTTTCACTATTTCTTCTCACTACTGTACCTTTTCTTCTATATCTCAATTTTTGGTCCTTGAAATCAATTTATTTTCTACTCTATGAAATTTATATTTTCATGAAGATAGGATCTTTATCATGAGTATTCAATTTTATAACATCAAAGTATCTTAAATTGAAAAATAATATGGTAAATTAATGGAAAAATTATAGTTGACTACCATTTTTTCTATAGTTGACATTTGAACAATTATAGTTGACTATCTAATTTTTGTAGTTGACTCTGGCAAAAATATAGTTAACTACCATTTTTTATAGTTGACATCGTAAAAATTATAGTTGACTATCGATTTTTTATAGTTGACTTCGGGAAAAATATAGTGAACTACCGATTTTTATAGTTGACTTCGGGAAAAATATAGTGAACTACCGATTTTTATACTGATCTTTTTGTTTTGGACTCTGATAAAACAAATTTCATAGGAAAACAAATATTTATGAGTCAACAAATAGTGCGACCATAGATCTGTAGATTTATAAAACAATCGTGTTTACAAACTCCATTTTTGAGTAATCAACCATGGAAGACATCCGAACCGTCGCATATGGTCGTCGCGTACCGCTGTATACCGTTTTTGTAGGAGACCTCGATTTTGTCCTTCGGAGTCGCTGAAGAAGGTGTCAAAAACAGAAATTATGTGGTAGAGATGGGTATATAACAAACTACCTGTCTTCTTCTTGCCGTTCTTCACCATTTTCGTCAACCTGTGTTGCAGTGAACTGTAATGTAGTGAACTGTAATGTAGTGAACTGTAATGCAGTGAACTCTAATGCAGTGAACTCTAATGCAGTGAACTGTAATGTAGTGAACTGTAATGTAGTTTACTATGATTTTGTTTGCCAGTTTGCCTTCCAAGCAATTTTCACAGAACAGGTTTGGTAGTACACTCAGTGCCATTTTTTTAGAAACTGTAAATTCAAATGAACAACAATAACACAAAACAGAATGTAGTGAACAAGATTGTATACACTAATTAGTGAACATATCCTAATACACAGCATAATGTAATAAACAATATGGATTAAACTAAGTTTACAATAAAACCGTGTTTTTTGTACACTGTCAAATTTCAGTGAATACAGTAAACTATAATGTAAAATGTATGTAGTAAATTAAGTTGTGGACACAACTTACTAGACATCAAAATGTAGTGAACTATATATATTGAACTAAGTTTACAATGCAAGTTGACTCTAAGTTTACGAAGCAGTTAACAGTTAATCATGTATCATAGTGGACTAACATACAAAGAATATAAGTGGACTAGATATCAAATTGACTTAATGAGTTGACCCTGAGTTTCAGCAGTAGTAAACTATTAAACAATTGTCATAGGAATGGTGTACTCATACAAACTACATTTCATTGCAAATGTCTGCTGTAGATCAACACATTTTTTTGAACAACGCATACATAGAATTGTAATCAACTTCACAGTTCAACTACAACACCACCCACAATGTTTTTAGATTCATAATTATGCAGTCAACTACAATGCCCAAAAAAACATAGTTCAATTGGAAACCAATTTGCATAAATTATTACCAGCGTTTAGATGCAGTAAGTCAACTTTCATTTTGCTATGTGGCGTTCCTGGGAAAAGAAATATAACATAGATTAATTCTTTTGTACAAGTATTTAAATCAAGTGAACTATCAGTATGGACGATTTGTTAATACCTCTATTCGTGTTCTTCTCTCCCATTCGTTTCTTCGATTTTGGTTTCACTGTAATCAATAAAAATTTCAGTGGCCCATGTATGAAACATAGCAAAATTAATCAAAATTGCTATGAAATTTACAACAAATCGAAGTGAAATTGATTGTCGATTCCAGACTTACCTTTGCATACGGTTTCTGTAAAAGTGTTCGATTTGCCCTCCGGAGTCGCTGATAATGGTGTCAGGGAGAGGAATTGTGGGGTAAATGCACAAAATTAGGTCAATAAAAAGTCGGCGATAGAGATGGGTATATAGCAAACTACCTTTCTTCTTCTTCCCGTTCTTCACCATTGCTTGTCAACCTGTGTTGCTGGACGAATTGCACAATAAAATGGTATTCTGAGTTTTTTTTTTCCGCTGAAAATGTAGCAAACTAGGGCAATTTTTGAAAGGGGAAAATATGCGGTGTATATATTGCAGTTTTTTTTTCGGCGATTTTATCGGCATAAATGTAGCAGACGAACGGAAATGTGGGTGAAATTATGTTGAAGAAGATGGTTGAAGATATGCAGTATTTGGGGAAAACGGGAGGGGGGTCTTTGCTATTACAAATTATAGGGGTATTTCAGTAATTGACATTTTTGAGGGGGTTTGACCCATTAAAAATATTGTAAGGTGGTTAGTCCTAATATTTTTTCTAATGAGGGGGTTATATCTTATTAACCCTATATTTTATTTTACAAATACTAGTTTCAAAATGCTTACGGTTTTAATATGACTCGATCGATCGCATCCAGTTGAGCTAATATTTGTTCTTAGAGGGGTTTTTTGCAAAAACCACCCCTGTGTAATCTCGAATTGCTGAAAAACCCCTCGTGTTAAAAATATTAGCACAAAACCCCCTATGAAAAATAGTCAAAGCCAAAAAAGACCCTACGAGCTCGATGTGTTATACACTCGCGCTTTGTGCGACTGGGCCTCGTGTTTAGGAACTAGAAAGACCTAAATACCCTTTAATCAATTTTTGAAATTTATAAACTTAGCCAAAATATTTTTCATAAGCTCAAAATGAAGTTTTCAGAATTTTCAATTCAATCCCCACTAACTTCAGAAAAGCCCTCTCTCCAAATTGCATAGAACCAAATTGCAATTTTCACAATTTCTCAAAACTTCATCATCTTCTTCCCCTCTCCTTCAGATATGCTGCACGCCAAATAAAAAATTGGTGATGCGGCGGTGGTGTTGGTGATGCGGCGGTGGTGCGGACGTGGTGTTGGTGATGCGGCGGTGGTGCGGACGTGGTGGTGGTGATGCGGCGGTGGTGCGGACGTGGTGGTGGTGATGCGGCGGTGGTGCGGACGTGGTGGTGGTGATGCGGCCGTTGTGGTGGTGATGCGGCGGCGTAGGGCTCGATGGAAGAATCGGGTTGCGGCAGTGGTGCGGACGTGGTGGTGGTGATTCGGCGGAGGACTTATGGAAGAATTGGGTTGTGGGAGGAAGACGATGGCCTGGGTGACTTTTCTTTTTCTTTCTTTTTTTTCTTTTTGCATTTTATTTATTTAATTGAAACATAAACTATTAAAAATATGAGGGTTACTTTAGTCATTTCATAAAAGTCAACTGCTAATTTCGAAATAAAGGGCAGTGTGCTTTGTCAAAAATAATATAGGAGGGTTTATGCTAATATTTTTAACATGGGGTTTTTTTTAGCCATTCAAGATTTCACAGGGATCTATGCAATTAGCTCGTTCTTAGAGTCTTTCAGGGAATAGTGAAATCATCGAAGAGAGGTTTTTGAAAGATTTTCTTCATTGGTGTACAAGAAGTGAAGAGAATAAGAATACATTCCATGATTCATTCGTCAGGCCATTCTTGCAATGAATGTTAATAGGCAATTAATTTTACATAATTGATGCTACTACGGAGCAAATCTGGAAATAATGATGTTTTTGGAGTAGATAACTAACTATGGTTTTTACTTTTTGAAATGGCTTGACAGCAGTGTTTTGGAACCCGGATCGGATCGGACCGGTTAAACTGCGAACTGTTGTCTTTCCCGATCCAGTTTAATAGGTTGAACCGTAAAACCGAAACCCAATTGAAAACGGGATTTTTTTATACCAAAATAGTGTTTTTTATCAAGTTTTTTTAAAATAAATAAAATGGCTTAAACTCGACATATTGTCTCACAATTGGGATTTTTGGAATTGACTAGAGGTGAAAATTGGAATGGAGATTTCTAATTCCACAATTCCTATCGGGTTTTTTTATTTTGGTTAGAAACGATATATTTTAATTGAATTCCGAAAATGCCGATTTTGGAACAATATTTTAAAATTTTAAAATATATTTTGATTTTTTAAACAATATTTCCGAAATGAGTTGATTTTTTTGGAATTTACGTGATTTCGTTTTTATATTAATTAATTAAAAATAATAATTATAAAAAAATATGTTTTAACAATACGCAATGCGTTTTGTTGAAAGTCCATTTTCATGTAGTGTTGTAAATTGAAGGCATGTGAGAGGCACATGCCATTTTCCATCCAACTTAACGGCAAAAATTAACGGCGGACCAATTCTGTCAAAAAATGCCATGATTAAGGACTACTATTGTAACTCCAAAATGTTTAGGGACAGTTTTGAAAAAGTGAGTAAAGTATGAGGACAGAAAATGTAATTTTCCCGGAGTTAATATGTGTAAAATAAAATATGTTTTGTTTACTATCAAAATTAAATATAAATGATTATAAATAAGGGTAAATTACAACCACCCCTGAGGTATGGTCAAATTAAAGAAAAAAACCCTCATGTTTGGGTAATTACAACCACCCCTCAACTATAAATCTTCTTACACGTCCACCCTTGCGGTTTAAAATTTAGTGGAATTTTCGAGTATATATAGAATATTATCACTTTTCTACCCGCTTTATCCCATTCGAACTCCACATTTTGAAGCAAGATGATCATAATATGTGTTTTTTGGCTTGTATATATCAGATTGTGGTTTATCAGAAACTGTATTTTACACAAAACGAGGACAAACTAGAGCACAATCCACGAAATCTGGATGATTATGTTGAATTTGACACCATAAGGGTTCAGGTGTAAGAAAAAATCATAGTTGGGAGTAGATGTAATTATCCAAACAAGAGGGGTTTTTTCGTAAATTGATCATACCTCAAGGAGGTGGTTGTAATTTACCCTATAAATAAAGGTCACTTTAGAAATAAGCCCTTGACATTCCATACTTAAGGTGGGTGATTGTTAGGCATTGTTATAAATTGGAAAACATCTCGAATCAATTCAAGAACACTGGACTACTAGAGGTAGATGATTGCAACCCATCCTTTATGAAGAAAATGCGCGAGTGTCGATCCTTTTTGGGTGCAGAAGCTAAAGTAGGTTCTTCAAGTACGGATCTATAAAGGTAATTAATGGTCGTCAAATCTATGTAAAAAAATTTAGGGTCAATTCAATGGTACACTTGAAGAATCTAATATATAGATGATCATATCCTAGCAATTTCTTTGACTAGGACTATATATCTCTTTCTTTTTTTGTCAACACGAAAATACTCTATTTTAAAAAACAGTATTGGACTTTATAATAAATTTTCTTAGTTTACAAAAACTGTTGCATTCTCTTCAAAGTGTTTCGAACCATTGAGCCGTTGAAACTCGAAAGAACGAAGATGTATACTCTAAAGAGTGATACCAAAAAAATCAGTGGCGTTTTTATCTTTACTTGTTACCAAATATTGTATCTTTCATCCTATAATCATTTTTCAGTTCATTAACCATTATATATCTACCAGAGCAATTCTATGTTGATTTTCAACTTAGCTGCACGGTGAATTTTGCTTTTTCTTCTGTGAATTTTTGGTAAGCTTGATCCTTGAAAATGTTGAAGAGAGGTTTTGTTTGATTTTTATTTATATGTGTGTACAGGATTATAATAAATTCCGAATGGCTAATCGTGTGTTGCTCGGCGATTGAAATGCCTCAACTATTCAAATGAAGATGAAGATTCCTATTCGGCAAGTGTGGCAAAATTTCAAAGCTTTCATAAAACTGTTTATGATTTGATATTTTCCTGTTTTTGTAAACTTTTTTTTTTTTTGGTGATCATTGAAACTTATGTTTTTGGATATTTTCTTGATTTATTCGTGAGGCCATTCTTGTAATGTAAAAGGTAATTATTTTTACATATTTTTTTACTTTTGCAATGGCTGGAAATAAAAAAAGAAGTGTGATGGATTCGAGTATATCAAATGATTGTTGAATGTGAAATGTACCTCCCTGTAAGTTGTTAGTGAATATGGTTAAGGTATGAAAGCTCATTTCAAGCTCAAGTTCAACTCGTAACTCGCCTAGAACAAAAATTCTAAAATATGTTTAAAAAGAATTAGGTTATTCGAGCTTGATTCCTTCGCCAAGGCCTTGATAATCAGACCAAGATATATGCGTGTGTGTATATATATATATATATATATATATATATATATATATATATATATATATATATATATATATATATATATATATATATATATATATATATATATATATATATATATATATATATATATATATATATATATATATATATATGCCCCTTCTTGTTTTAAAGATTCTATCTAGAGAATTTGGAATGTGCTATGGATTCGTGCGCTCGAGTGATTGGGTAAAGGAAGCAGAGTATAATACCGTTTTGTCAACAGGACCGGGTAGTTTTGTTTGGATATATTTGAAATCAACGACTCTATATTTTATTTTACTAATACTAGTTTCCAAAATGCTTGCGGTTTTAATATGGCTCGATCGATCGCATCCAATTGAGCTAATATTTGTTCTTAGAGTCTTTCAGGAAATAGTGAAATCATCAAAGAGAGGTTTTTGATTATTCATATGTGCACAAAAAGTGAAGAGAATAAGAATAAATTTCATGATTTATTCGTGAGGCCATTCTTGTAATGAATGTAGAGCTTATTGCATTTACTACCCCTGTGAAATTTGTAGTTGCGCGATTTCCCCCTGTCATAAAAAAATTAGCAAACACCCCATATGCTTATTTTTAGGACGTATACTCGACTCATTTAACTTTTGGCCGTTGACCAGCTGTGAAAAGACAAAAATACCCGAGTAGGTTAAGCCACGGGTTTTTGCTAAAAATAAAAATAATTATGATTAATTTTGATTCACTACCACGTGCCACACCCATCAATCACGAAAACAATAAAATTCTGTAAAAAATATTTTAATTTCAAAATGCAAAAAATAGATATTAAATATAAATAAATCCAAAAAAAAAAACAAATGGAAAAATAGTTGAATTGTAGCAAACAATATGCAAATATATGTTAAATATAAAAAAGAAAAAGAAAATGGGGTGTATTTGCTAATATTTTTATGACAGGGAGAAATCGCGCAGTTGCGAGTTTCAGAGGGGTAGTAAATGCAATAAGCTCAATGAATGTAAGAGGGCAATTGATTTTACATAGTTGATGCTAATGTGAAGCAAATCTGGAAATAATGATATTTTTGGAGTAGATAACTAACTATGATTTTTACTATTTGCAATGGCTTGAAAGCAGTGTTGTGGAATAATGGTCCAGTTTATCTGTCTATAGAGATCTGGAACATGCATAAACTAAAACAACTTTACTGCAAGGGCTTTGATCTGCCAACTCCTCCCCTCGGTGATTCTTATCTTGAGAATCTTTTAACAATTTCAGGTGTGAGTGTTCATAGTTATACCATAGAAGTGCTTTCAAGAACCCCCAAGCTAAAGAGAATAGTCGTTCAGATCGAGTCAGCACACGAGTCAATCGAAACCTTAAATTTTTTCGGTCATTTTGCCACCCACTATGATGAATTTGAGTCGTTGAAATGCGTTGTTATAAATCATAATCTCAGCTCTCATGTTGTTCTTTGTGTTCCGAAATTTCCTGTGAACATTACAAAGATAAGTTTGCATGGATGTGGATTACCTTGGAAGAATATGGCGGTGATTGCAGCATTACCATATCTTAAAGTGCTCAAACTGCGATGGAATGCCTTGCAAAGATGAAGATTTTCTATTCATCAAGCATTGCAGAATCTCAAAGAGAGTTGTGTTCATGATTTGATATTTTCCCTTTTTCGTGTTTTTTGTTTTTCTTTGTTGGGTTGTCATTGAAACTTATGTTTCGGATATTTCCTTGATTTATTCGTAAGGTCATTCTTGTAATTCTGGAAATAATGTTGTTTTTGTGTGGATACTACCTAACTATGATTTTTACTTTTTTTCTTTTTTTGCAATGGCTTTTAACTTGTAAGCTATGTAGCACAGACACGAGAACGAGAACACGGGTAACGGAAACGGGAAAACTCCGTTTTCCAAAGAAATGAATACGGGAATGTGGCGAAACGCTTAAATAATAAAAATATAGGGGTGCATTCATAATTTCTAAAAAAATATTAAAATGTTTAATATCATTCCACAATCTACATTCGACGAATATAAATTTATTTTAGTATGAAATTAACATCTACAAAAATATTAAAACACCACTAGAAGTGAAAAGGAGACATAATATTTAAGATTTTTTTGAAGCTTATGCAATTCGAAGTCTTTATTTGAAATGAAATTTGGATTTATTTTGTGTGGAAAAGTGTTTTCAATTTTCCATTATTATCAGAAACGTCCCCAAAACTTTTATATATTTATGGAAATGGCCCTGAAACTTTTCTGACAGGTGTCATGAAGTTTCGATTTCCGAAACGTTTCCGAAACATGGAAACGCGTGTGGGTTGAAGTTTCCAAGCATCATAGCTTGTAAGTGATAAAAAGAAGCAAAAAAGTGGGATAATTATAGTTTTGGTCCCCCAAGTTCGCACGTTTTTTACTTTTGGTCCCCCATTTACCGCCGTAAACAAAATACACACTAATGTTGTCACATTTTAACACATTTAGTCCATCTCTATTTGACTGTCAAGAAGTAACGGTCAACTGTTGAATTAGGGCTCAGTTTGGGATTTTTCATAGATAAAAATTGCACTCAGACCCCAACATTCTTTTAAAATATTCTAAAAACCCCTAAAATTTTATTCAACCCTAATTTAACCCCACTTTCATCATTTAATCAATTTTGACAAACGACCCCGATTTTTAACCACCATTACCGCTGGCCGTTGACTGCTGTTGATTTTTTTTTTTTTTACTCTTTTTTTTCGGCATTGAATTTTTTTTTTAATATTGATTTTGACGCCGTTCACCGACATTGTATTCTCGGTTAACAATGTCGACTTTTTTTATTTTTCTTGATTTTTTATGAACTTTTCCCTGTGGTTTTTTTTCCGATCAACACAATTACTGTATAACACAATAATAATAATACTATATTAATATCTAGTATCATAATATTAAAATTATAAACTTCTAAAATGGTTTCTATCTAAAATTCTAGGGCCTACATACAATTTAAAAAAATTCTAAAATCCATAATTTGTTCCCCTCAATTTTTTCTTCGTTGAACCGCTACTACATCCCAAATTTCTTCCCAAAAAAATATGAAGAAGATGAATTAGGCATGTGCGGAGTAATTTGGAATGAGATAACTACTCTAGTACAACGGTTTTGGGGGCTAACATCGGCCGTTAATTTTTATCTTTTTTTTTCTTAATTTTTTTCCGTTATTGAGATGCGTTGACTTTTTTCCTTTTTTCTTTATTTGACTTTTTTTATGATATTATTTTCTCGCCGATTATTTGCTTTTAATTTCTTTTAAATTATATTTTTCCATTACTCAACAATTTAAATAAAAATAAAATAAAAATCAAGAAAAAAATGTCAATGTTGTTAACCCGACATTCAACATCGGTCAACAACGGCAAAAACAGATCAATCGAAAAAATAGTCAACCGAGTTAAAAAGAAAGTCAACGTCGGATTACCCAATTTTGGAAAATCGGGGTCATTGGTTAAAATTGGTTAATTGATGAAATTGGGGTTAAATTATGGTTGGATAAAAATTTAGAGGTTTTTAGAATATTTTGAAAGAATACAGGGATCTTTTTGCAATTTTCTCAAAGAAAAACCCCAAATTCAACCGCTGACCGTTACTACTCAACGGTCAAACAGATGGAGGGAGTAAATGTGTTAAAATGTGACAACATTAATGTGTATTTTGTTGACGGTGGTAAATGGAGGACCAAAAGTGAAAAATGTGCAAACTTGGGGGACCAAAACTATAATTATCCCCAAAAAAGTAGTAGTATATTTCTTGCAAATGATATCAAATTGAGCCTCAGTACTTTTGGAGAGAGGGAGAGAGGATTTACGAAATTTGTTTGATATTTGCACTTGGTATAAGCTCGATCTTAAAATCATTTGGCAACGAAATTCGAACTTAGGTCAATTGACACAACTTTAAAGATTAAGCCACCTACTGCAGGGCTGCTCTTAATACTAATTGTGTATAAACTGTATAATGAAATTTATTTTGTACAAAACTGCATTTCAAAAGTTGTCCAATAATATATTATAAGCATATATCTAGGAATTAATTTTGATTCATTTTTTTTCTTATTTATTTGAAGCTGAGGATTAGATATTTAATGGAGTTTCAATTTTTAAATTAATTATTTTTATTATATTAACTTTATTGCAAGGGCTTCGGCCTCCTACCTCCTTCGGATGATTCTCATCTTGAGAATCTTATAACAGTTTCGGGTGTGAGTGTTCACAGTTGTACCATAGAAGTGCTTTCAAGAATCCCCAATCTGAAGAAAATAGCCGTTCAGATTGAGTCGGCACACGACTCAACCGAAACCTTCAATTTTTTCGGTCACTTTGCCTCTATCTATGAGAGCTGTGAGTCATTCAAATTCGTTGTTGTAAATCCTAATCTGAGCTCTCAAATTGTTCGTTCAGTTCCGAATTTTCGAATGAACATTAGGAAGATAAGCCTGAGTGGATGTGGATTTCCTTGGGAGAATATGGAAGTGATTGCTTCATTACCTAATCTTATAGTGCTCAAACTGGATGGTATACCTTTTGCGGCCCTCTGTGGAAAACCAGCCAAAGACAAGGACAGTTCCCCAGTCTGGAGTTCTTACTGCTGGAAGACTTGGATGTAGAGAACTTGGAATTTAACCCTCGATACTTAAGGTGGGTGGTTGTTAGGCATTGCTATAAATTTAAA